TTCGACAGGCCTCAAACACTTTTCACAGTAAGGGTCGTTGTTTCATAAGATACCTGCAGGCCACGCAAAAGAGACCGCATTCTTTATCGTCTGTAAGGGCAGCAGACGCAGCTGCGGAGGCCTGAACCCTAAACTCGCAAGGACCTTTCAGTGAGCAACAGCGAGCAGAAAAGTAGCAAATACAAGCCACAAACCCATCATTGGATGAAAAGACCCCATGTATCAGGTTGCCGTTCTTTCGGGGTGAGATGTGACTTTGGGGCTTTGGGCGAAACATGCATGAGCCATGAGCATGTTGCTATCGCAGCGAGCGGCTGCGCCCCTCCGGAACCCTTTTACCATCAACCCGAAACTCCAGACTTGAACCCGAAACTCTGTGAGTTTTTCGCAGCTCGAACAGCCTGGAGCTGGCAAAAAAACGGAGGTGGGAGGCTCTTGAACTTCGGGGTACCTTAGTGAAGTTGGGGTCCCAGGGAGTCCTCGTAAGAAGGATCCTACCTACTGCTTAGAGTGTTTAGTCAGTTTAGGGTTTAGGTGGCTTAGGCGGTTCAGGGTTTTATGGTTTTAGGGTGGTTTAGGGTTTGTTTAGGGAGAGTCTATTTTTGGATCTCTCATGTCATGGAAACTCCCAGGTGACTTGGGGCCATCCATCCTGTGGTGGCGACAGCTCTGCAGTGGAGGGGCTCCTCAGTCGTTTTTGCGCTGTGGAACCATGAAAGCTCAAGCCCTGGAGCCCTTCACCCAGAGAACCCAATACCCCTTAATTATGGAATACACCGTAAATTATAGGGGCCTTCCTTAATCGCCATAGTTGAGCATATTTCTTGGGACCAATCACTGGTGATGTGTTTTCTTTGGGTGGCCTAAACCTGCTTGCCCAGAATCTATCAGAACATGACAAAAGTCGGTGTCTGTCGCTCATTTTCATGCCCATGCCCTTGCGAGTGCAACCTTGTAAAGGTACAGGCTTCTTGCCGGCACATACCGAGGGCTCACACTCCTTGCCAGAGTAGCGATACGATTAATAAAGTCTTCTGGCATTTGGCACGAGTAAGCCAAAGGATTCAAAGGCGTTCGATTGGCATCCCTGTCCAGCTGCAACTGGTATACCACATGCATGAGCATATGATACTTAGGGGTGAGCTTGAAACGAGCCAGCGATCTCGAGAGTGCCAGTGCTGCACAACGAGTATAAGCAGAAATCATCTCCAGGCCAAGCCGCACAATCTTCACCAGTCGTCGTCTCTGCAGAAACAGCCCGGCTTTATACAAACTCAAAAATCCATCAGAAGCTTTCAAGCATTCAAGCACAGTTTGCAAAAACGGCAGATTGTTCTCGGCAGTTGGCAATACAGTCTCGAACTTGAAGACGAGAAACTTGATGACGAAGGTTGTGTCAGCCCCTTTAAACCATTGCCTTGGCACAACTACAATGTTTGATAGAAGGAACTACAATGAACTATACAAAAAGATGCGAAGCTGTTGGGGGCACCCGGTGGGATAGTCTGCTGCCGAAGAGATGCCCAACATCCCTTTGGTCAAAGCATTCATATGCAAATAAAGATCTCGATCAGCTGCGAAAGCTTTCATCTCCCCAAACAAATGAGCGAGGTTCTTGTCGAGCCCCTTTGCCGAACAGCCGGTCAGTCCGAAGTCCCGGAGAATCATCTCAGCTGCGAGCAAACAAAAAATATAAGTCTGAGACTATGCAACAGAATCTATTTGATCAGGCTTTAGGGAGCTAAGGGCATTTAGGGTTCAGGGTTGGCTATAAAAACCATACTATGCGAGAGGAGCTCCAGCCCAGAACCACAAAGCTCGGCATGTACACCTTTATGGCAGGTATGGAACAAATCCACTAGAAAGAAGCTTGCTTTCCCTCCAACAGCCATCGGTATCTTGGACGTGAGCCCGGACTCCTTCGCCGGATCCCAAGGAATTGTGGATGTAGCCATGCTTCGAACCCAAGGAGCCGTCGCAAAATCAGCTTCATGCCATGTAGGACATTCTTTTGTATTGGCCATACACAAGTGGCATATACCGACTTTGTAAGGATAAGCTTCTCGGCGAAAGTGCCTCAGCAATCTTCCAAGTTTTTCCAAAGCTGGCCAGTCTCCCTTCAATCCTAAAACGGCGACTCGCCATGTTTCCATGGTATGGCCGCAGCGGATGTCGAGGCCATGGTAGAAGAGATTTGCAAAATCTTCTGCCCAGATATCTACAAGCTTGTGAAGGGGTCGATCGTCGTTCAGGTATAAGTTCTTCGGCATGCATGCAAACAGCTGCCTGGTAACCATGGTGTTTCTCCGGAAGTTCATCTTCATGTCTTGTGTTGCAGTGTCTTTGTCCTCTGCATCACAGCCCGTGCCGAGCAGCGATTCTGATCCCAAGACGAACACAGCAGACTTCTTCCAGCCCCGGCCTTCATCCCCAATAAGATAAAGAGGAATAGTGCGAGCCCGGGCTTCTGCAGGCAGCTGGAAAATTGGATGATCTCCGAGCAGTGGCTGCATCTTGTCCCAGAAGGATTCAAGATTAACACCTTGCGTAAGAATATCCAGTCGCCCGAATGCTTCTCGAAGATGAAGCCTTGGAGATGGTGCTGTCCAGAGATCGCACAGATAATGTACCTCCCAGCAGTATTGATCAATCATAGACAACATCAACATGGCTGTGCAAACTCGATGATGCAAAATCTTTTCTTCGGCTCTGCTCGCACCAACCCCTCCCCTAGAAGTTGCACGTGCAGTGCACATCGTGTGGGACACCAGCTCGATCACACCACTGCAGGACAGTATTATGCCTCTTAAGATAAAGTAGAAAAAAACCTTAGTGTGCCCACAGCTGTGACAACAAAGGATCACTTTGCTGCAGCTCGCTGCTTCGCCTTCGGCGTGGCTTTGGGCCTGGGCTTCGAGGCCTCGGACTTTTTGTCGGTGTCGCTGCCCTTCAGTGACGGCAGCAGTGTCCTGAACATGTCCGCGTGCAAGCTGTTCTTTCTGCCCAGGGTCACACTGAAGCTCATGCTGTATCTGAGAGCCACTCTTCTTGATCTTATTCTCTTCCATCGTGATCCGGCTCGCCCTGCAAGGCGAAATGGCGATGCGGGGAAATCGTGGCTGATGCGTGGCGTGTGCGGAGGACAAGTATTGCATGCCAAGCCGCTTTTTGTTCGCGGTGTTGATCAGCTTCGTGAGCTTCCTGACACATACCAAGAATGCTGTGATCTAGACTACTAATCAGCAGGGCTTATGCAGGCGAGGGTCGCAGCATCGACCGGCTCTTCGCAGTCGTAGGCAGACTTCATGTCGGCCAGCTCGTCGTGCTTCGAGCCAAGCTCGACGATCAGCTTCTTGAAAGACTCGACATCCCTTGGCTTGTGCAGTATAGCTGGAAGTAACTTAAGTGCACTTCACTGAACGGCCATGCTACTCCTTTGCAGCTCCACCTTTCTGGCACCGATCCAGGAGCTTGTTGCATCGGCTTTGAAGGCTCAGCATCTCATTCAGCAGGCCGGGCACCCCGTCCATGTCCTGATTAAACTTTAAGGAGGGATGAGGGTTCAGGGGTTTGTTCAGGGTTCAGGCAAAGCACAGAATGAAATAAGGGGAATTGAGGTGGCCTCCTCCACATCATCAGGCAAATTGTCTTTGCTCTTTCTTTTGCCGAGCTTGGCTTTGGGCTCATCGGCTTCCTCATCGTCTTCTTCATCTTCATCTTCATCTTCATCATCATCGGCATCATTATCAGCTTCATCCTGGGAGTCGAGGTCTGGGAGGCTTGCACCCAAACCGAGAGCCACGTCACGGACCCGGGCACCATCGGATATCGTAGTGTCCCGTAGGAGCTCTTCCTCGTCCCTGTTAGCCTTAGTACCCTCGTAGGCAACGTCGCACCAATACCATATCAGCTTCTTCTGGTACTTGTCCTTCCTTAAATAACAATCTGTGGTCGAGGGATGACTCTTGCACATGGCAAACAACATTGGGATAAAGCCTAGGCGGCGTGCAGGGTGTGGGTCTTCCGGTTCTCCTTCTTCATACAGAACTTTCGGATCGCCTTTCGGCGTTCCCTCAGTTGCATACATACATGTATACATATGGACACTTAACTTAGTATACATGAGTACATGCTGTATTGTATGAAGACACACAACGAAGAATGTGCATGCATGCCACAGGTCTTTGTACATCGGTAGATAGATATAGTAGCATGAAACAACGAATCAGCATACATACATAATACATAGATACATACATACATATATACATGTATACATACATATACATACATATACATACATATACATACATATACATGTACATATACATACATATACATGTACATATACATGTACATGTACATGTACATATACTTGTACATATACATATACATACTTACATAGATGCATGTGTGCATATACATGCATGCACATCATAGACACTCACCGTCTCTCTATCTCTCTCTCTCTCTCTATCTCTCTCTCTTTCTCTTTCTTATATGTACAGACAGACACACACACACACACACAGACCAGCAATCACACTTTGCACTGCAAACATCACACGACTGCTGAGCGACATGAGCAAGTGCAGCAAAGGAGCGGCGTGAATTTCAATTCATCTGCCATCATCTGATCTGTATAAAAGCCGGATCGAACCTTGAACTCCTTGCTTCGGTTTTGCCGATAGGTGTGGTTCACCTTCTCCAGGAAGCCTTCCTGCGTGTTTCGGGTTTCGGGTTTTAGGGGTCCTTTAAGGTTTCTATAGAAATTTAAGGCATATATAAGGTTTATGTAGGATTTGTAATGGGGTCTATAGGGCTTCGGGTTATATAGGGTGTGGGTCCTTCTGGCCATTGCACTGTAGGAGCACCTTCCTCAGCTCTCGCCTGTGGCTTCCTCCCCCTTTCCACATCTTGTGGACCTGTTCGGGAACCTGATAGTTCCCTTTTCTATCGGCTTTGCAAAGTCGCCGGAGGATGGCTTCGAGCTTGGATTCTTCGGCCTTGGACAGCTGGGCGAGTTTCGCGGCCACCTCAGATTTGGATTGCACTACGGAATAACAAAGGCTACTCGCACACGTACAAACACCCACACCCACACAGGACACACAGCCATGCTAAGTCAGGGGTCTCGAGGTTTCTTGCCTCCACGAGCACGTACAAGGGCTGTGGGCTTGGTAGTCTCATCAGATTGATCAGATTCGGTCTCCTTGTCGGAGTCGTCGGGCTCGGGCTTGGTAACCTGGTACATAAGATGACAGGTTTCCTTTAGTAGCTCGGAACAGCTTCCTCTTGACCTATTGCTTGCACTACACTGTAGGAATCCAAGGAACCTTGATTGGGGTGCCGTAGACATCGTCCGTATCGAAGAGGAATGCATGCAAAATACAGAAGTTGCAACAACATCGAACCGTTGGTGCTACCATAATGCATACGTGATTCCGTAGGCTTGCAATCCTCCTCGGCCGAAGAAACCTCGACCATGTTGAGATGCAAAGCATACTTGAGCAGCTCGTCGTCGGTCTCCGATGCGAACTCAGGTGCTGGATCAAGGCTCAAGACATGGACCTGCTCAGGAGGCGGATCCTCAGCATTGTCGAAGCTGCATAGCAGGGACTTCCTTGGTGTCTCCTTGGGTTTCGGCAGTGATCCTGTAGCAGGCAGCTTGGGGGGCGAAGCCTTTGGGCTCGGCTTAGGACTTGCAGACCGCTTGGGGGGCGAAGCCTTTGGGGTAGGGAACAAAACGGCAGACCTGTTGGGGGACGAAGCTTTCGGGCTCGGCTTAGGACTTGGCAGCTTGGGTTGCGAAGCCTTCGGGTTTTTTTTGCTGCTTGCCGGCTTGGGGGACGAGGTCTCTGGGCCGGTCTTCGGAGCCGACCTAGTCGGGGTGAACACCTTCTGGGTCGACTGGAAAGCTGTCGGCAGCGAGTCGGAAGGGAAAGTAGGCTGAGCATCTTCCCCAGCATCCACCACTCGGTTATTTCCCGACGAAGTAGCCCCACCACTAAGCGGAGGGCTCCTGCTGCTGGGCTTGGCCTTGGGTCGCTGCTTCTCGGGAGTAGCTTTCTCCTTTCCTACATCCTCAGCCCCAAGCACTGCCTTAGATCGTTTCTTTCGAATCCTCGGCTTCTTGCTTGGAGGCTCTGTGGTCTCCTCCACATCATCATCTGCAGGAGGAGGCGGGGTGATCACCTCATTCTGCTGAAGCTGAAGCTTCTCCAGATTCTGTAGAAGATCCTTTGCCTCCTGCACATAGATCAGCACAGAGGGTTGATGTAGTGTAAGGTTTAGGGTTTTGGGTTTTAAATTAGGGTATTAGTATAGGTAGTATAGACCCTGTAGCACATGTCCTTTAGCTGCTCGCTGATGGACTTCTGTTCTTCCTTCACAGCACCCTTTGGGACCTTTGGGCTCCTTCTTTTCTTTGCCATAGCTGCAGCCCGGCAGCTACATGAAAACTACATCAAGAAAACTCTAAGGAGCAAGAGGACCAGACACAGCAGACACACCACCATCGAAGTTGCAAGTGCTCCAAGTCTCTTGCAATGCACAGCAAAACGACGCAGAACATCCACCTACGCTTTTTTGCGCCACTCCTACGGCTGTTTGCGCCACTCCTACGGCTGTTTGCGCCACCGGTTGTCGTCTCTAGTTTGCCTAAATTCTAGTTAAAGTACATTGAAAAAGCTCGACATGTAATGGCACCCAAACAGAACACACTCAAACTGTTCTGTAGCCCAACCGAATCGGACTTGCGGACAGCAGGCCGGCTGCTCAATCGAGCTCAATGATCACCGGTCTGGGCTCCTGGAAAGGGTTGTTGGTTCGCTAGTTATGCAGCTCAAGTGGTCCAAGGGTTTGGGGCTCGGGAGGCCTTTACCTGCCTATAGGGCTTATTGAAGGAACAATAAAATCTATTTAGGGTTCTAGAAGTCTGATGGGGATGCCAGTTGTGGACCGATAGGGTTTGGGCTTTTAGGGGGGTTGGGCTTTTAGGGGGTTTGGGCTTTTAGGGGGTTTGGGCTTTTGGGGGGTTTGGGCTTTTAGGGGGTTTGGGCTTTTAGGGGGTTTTGGTTCTGGGACGTACAATTTTGGATCCCTGCAGAACTAGGATTCATCGAGATTGCAGCTTTGAGGTTTAAGGGTTTGAGCAAGGCACAGGAAGGGTTGGATGTTGATTAGGTTTGGAGTTTTGAGCTGGGGGTCTGTAGAGCCGAAATGAGGAATCTATATAGGCTATGTACACAGAACATAGAGAGGAGCATGTAATGATGCTGCCACAGATATTCTAGTAGTTGGACTTGGTATGCCTTGTACCTTTCTGCAGCCATCCTACTATCCTACATGATCGATTCTATGCTCTTGCAGAATAGATACCTATGCAGAAATCAAGAGTAGACATATAAACCCCAAGCCCTTAGAGATATAGGGACTGTATACACTTCCCCAAGGCTAGGGGTTAGGGTGTATATACACTTAATAGAGAGTTCGGGGGTCCTGCGGGGTGTACCATGTGCCGGGCCGCCAAAATTGTTGGAAGATGCCCTTGACAAACATGCGAGCATAAACCTTGCCAACTGATTTCGTGTGTCGCCTGAGTTCTAGAGAAGCCAAGAAGCATCCATGCATGCAATCTGGTGCCACTCCGAACCATCATGCAAGCACCACAGCAGTCAAATTATGTTGCGACCATGTCACCCGGTGTGCCCTTTCTTGGCCACGGAGGCAGTCATGCCAATCTGCAGCTGCTTCTTCGCCAGGCGGGATTGTCGTAGCTGGTGGAATACCACAATTGCACGGGAATTAGAAAGGAGCCTCAGTTTTTTCGGAGACCCTCCCGATCCCCAGCAGCTCACCCAGAAGCCAACTCGAAACATCTTCGTCGGCACAGCGAACAGTTGCCACCGAGGGTGTTGTGTCAGCCTAGCAGGCATTTCCACCGTCCACGTGAATCCCAAAACCTGAGCCAGGAATAGTGCCAAAGCCATCCTCAGATAAGGGTTTCTCAGGGCAAGCATGTCTCGACACAGCAAACGGGTGACATGAGATAGTGCAGACAGATTGCCGGTCGGCCATCCTAGGCGATCCAATTGATCTTCCATGGACAATACTGCCGGGTTTCAGCTTCAGGATGATAACCAACATCATCCTCAGCTATTGCCCCAAAGTTGGAGTCTCAATGGTTCCACGACAGCAACAAAAGAATGCGCAGCTAGTGCAAGCCAGGAGACATGAAATCCGTGGGTTCAGCCCCCCAAACAACCCTGGCCGCCGAAACACGTCGTTTCTTCAGGGCTTTGCTCACCACTGGATCATCGTTGGAGAACTCCACAGCCTCGTACTCCTGCACCAGAGTGCTGTAGAAGGCAAACACTCCCGAGCATCAGAATATCTAGCCGGCAAGCCCCACCTCCTTGAAATCAAGTGGCATGTTGCAGACGATCGCCAGGACCACCACAAGTATCTGAAGCAAACCAGCATCAATGATTCCACATGCTTCCAATGCATTCAGAAACCTACAACCCTGTATGTGCAAGCTAGAAACGGTCGGTGCCCCTGCATCTCGCAGGATCTGCATGATCATCTGTCGCCGTGCTTCGGACAGCATGGCGCTCGAGGCTGGGCTGGGCACTGGGAGCACAGAAGCTGCATTCGTACAGAGTAAGATACAGGGCAGCACACAGCAGATGCAAACTGGTCTCACCGACTCGGAGTTCTGTAAGCCCCACGAACCCCAAATCCTATTATGAATTCTATTGCTTATATATACTTTATAACTACGATAAGCCCAAACCTAAGATAAGCCCGAATCTATAAGACTTTAAGATAAGCCCGGACCCTCTATAATCCCAAACCCAAACCCTAAACTACCCAACTAAACCGAGCCCTATAACCCCCAAACCCAAACCCTATAAAACCCCAAAGTAAGTTTAAACCCGAACCTATATAAAACACGAACCCGAACCCTGGACAAACCCACAGACACAGCGGCGGTGGGGCACGTTTCGGGATGCCCTTCAGAAACTTCACCTTCACCATGTAGCCCAGCCTGCAACGAGGAAGCCAGAGCTAGCTCTAGAGAGCACAAGTGCCATTCACAGGATGCACCGAAGACTTGCGAGGATCTTTTGTTTGCAGCGAGACTGCACTGTGATCGCACTTTGCAGCTGCCACAGACGGCATACCCCTATAAAACGTGTAACTCAAGAATGCGAGATGCACCGTTCCGGCAGGAGTCCTGATGATTTACTGGAGGGTTTGGGGCCTTGGCTTAAAGGCTTAGGGTTGGGAGTTTGGGGCTATATGGTTCAGGGTTCTCGCGGGGTCGCTAGATTGCTCTATTGGTGTGCTCATTGCAGTGTGCACAGTGCAGCCGAACACACAAGAGCCATCAAGTGAAAGTATTCATTCGACCCTGGATGCATTGGCCTATCTAGAATCTATACTCCTCCTCGGCACATTCGCATGAGGAAAGCTTCGGATCGACTGCACAACGGCAGCTAAGCGTGCTCCAGCCGCCAGCCGAAGTGGCGAGCTCAGCCAATTTGGCATCAAACCAGGAGGTTTTTTCGATCTTTCGAATTTGGAAGGCTTTTCTGGACTGCAATCGAAACTCCTGGCCGATGCTTCCCCGGATCGAGATCTGTGCTTGGCTGTGACAACAACCTGCAGAGTACATGGCAACCTGTATAGTTGAAGCCCATTATAACCCCGAAGCGAAGCTATACTTGGAATAGGCATGCAAGCACACTTCCCAATCAAACCCCACTCCTAGGCTTTCGGGGCTTGTAACTGGGATTTTTACAGTTTGAGCACCCGTTCTCGGAGTGCCGGCACTTCGGGCATCCCAAAGCTCGCTTCAGCTCATCACCCTTCCCAGCTTTCGCCGCCTTCGGCGTGCTGCGATTCGCCGTCTTCGCCGTGCTGCGATTCGCCGTTTTCGCCGTGCCGGGCTCGGATTTTTTCTCCTTTGCCTTTCCCTTGGCCTTTGCTTTTGCCTTTGCCTTAGGCAAAGGCTTCTCCTTCGAGTCATCCCCCGTGGCCTTTTCCTCCTTCTTGCCTTTTTTTTCCCTGCTCCTCCTCCTTTTCCCTTCCCTTTGGCTTCCGATATGGCAGCCATTTTTTTCTTTCTGAGCAGCCTCTGCTGCTGGGGATCCACGGAAAGAGCCGCTCCCTCCTAGCAGGGCTGTTGCTAAAGTGAGTTCAAACCAACTAAATTAGTTATACTTGACCAGTGGGCTGTAAGGGTATCATATGATAGGGTGCAGATAAAGTATACTACTTTAAATGGTATCTTAAGGTTTAATAGAGCACTGTTAGCACTGTCCCATTGTGGGTAATAGTCCTTCGGCGGTGTCGCCAAGTCTCCACTGCTGAGCTTCGGATTTGGCGTGCATGCCGGGGATGTTGCAGCCAAGATGTCGATGGGCTGGGTCTCCAACTGCAACAGATCAAGCTAAAGTTTTAAAGCAGAGCAGTTGACATGTGTGGTGTATGCTCTTTCTACAAGAGAACAAGAGAAGGCCAATTGATTATAGAACTCCCCGTGCACATCTTAATAGTGCGAAGCAAAGACGGTGCGTGCCTCGCTCGGGTCGCAGGGGCTGGCTCGCGATCGCTTCACAGACGAGGCCAAACCTTTGCCCAGTTATGCTAGCTGATGAACTGAATGCCACACATAAAGATCAACCGAAGGGCTCGATTTGTTCGATGTCGCGGGGGAGGTCGATGGAGATTTTCGCTTTCCATTACCGGACCTGAGGTAGGATTAATCTAGAGGGAAGGGTGCTACATGTAATTGGTTTTAACACAATATGCAGCTGCAAGTGAAGTGATCAGTGTAAGTTTCGGGCAATTCCAGGGCCTTGATCTTAAGCAGAATCGCATCCAGCTCCTTTTTCTCCTTAGATTCCGAAGAACCCATGTAGAGGATGTCCTCGGTCTCCTCCTTTGACTTTCTCTTGATTCGCCTCACTGGCTCAGGCACCTCCGAAGCCTTCTTAACCTCTGGCACATGCACCACAGGATCATCCTGCAGCTCTTCTTCTTCTCCTCCCTCCTCACATACCTGCTCCTCCTCCTTCTCCTCACTCATATCCTCTACTTTCTCTTCTCTCTCTCTCTCCTCTCTTGGATAGTCTTGCAGCAACCTTTCAACACTCGTTTGGGTGGCGGCAACGTGTCCCGATAATGTCGAATGAGCTGGAAGAGCTTCTTCACACCATCGCCCTAGGTCTTGATAGGTT